AGATCAGTTGAACGGTTTGTAAAAAGTCATATTTAGGCCAGTTGTTGTGGCTCATGCCTGTAATCCCAGAACTATGGGAGGTCTAGGTGGGTGTATCACTTGAGGTCAGGAGTTTGAGACCAGCCTGGCCAACATGTTGAAACCCCATCTCTACTAAATATACAAAACTTAGCCAGGCATGGTGTTGGGCACCTGTAATCCCAGCTACTCGGGAAACTAAGGCAGGAGAATTGCTTGAACCTAGGAGGCAGAGGTTGAAGTGAGCCGAGATTATACCATTGCACTCCAGCCTGGGTGACAAAGCGAGACTCCTTCTCAAAAATAAATAAATAAATAAATACATACATACATACGTAAAATGCTTGAGTAGGAGAATTTTTTTTTAAAGTCATATTTAAACAGTCTAAATCTATAAAAGCAAGATTGAAAGGGGTTAGAATTATAATTGAGACAAAACTCTACATTAAATTAGTAAAAGGACTCTTGGAGCTTTACTAAAACACATGGCTTAATATGTTGCATGGTTTGAGGTTAGGAGGAGTCAGTCAGGCATATATTTTGGGGGAGGTGAATTTTATTATAAAATATTGCCTTCTATTCAGCAGGCCTCCCCATGCCCCTTTAACTTGTTCAGGCTAGCCAACTGACTGTTCCTCCTGAGAGACCTGTGGGTTCTGATTCTGTTCTGTTTTACCCCTAACTTTGAATTTGATTTTATTATGACTTTGGTGTCATTTTACTAAGGGGACATAAGAAAATAGTTCCACAGACTTTTGTGTGCTTCTAATAGTTGGTGAAGTCTGGATACCCTCCCAGCTTTAACACCCAGAGCTTAAAAGCAGTCCTCATCTGCATCTTCCTCTCATGAGGCAGGGGAAGAGAGCATGTCGTTTTGACCTGACTATAAAGGGTCAAGCCCAAACTATTTCCAATACTTTTAGGTTTGTAATATATTGGCTCCCTCAGCCAGAAGCTGAAGCCTGGTGATAGAGAGTGCCTTACTAGTTGGGAATCAGGTCAGTCCTCCATTGTAATGCACACACTGTGACTCACTAGACATGTATGAACTATAGTGTTATGGAGTCATATCTCACATGGAGAGGCAGGTTGTAAAGTCATCATTCAAGGTAAAAATAGAAAATCACTTATAGTCAGTTATCCTTGATCCTTTTTAAAGTTAAACCCTAGATGAAAAAGTTGGCTTGCATTTATATATTGTATGAAAAACATCTGTCATTAAACAGAATTGCACTGCACACAATGAGAATTCAAAATATGGGATTACCTCTACTGCCTCACAGTGTCCCTACGACATGCTTCTTAAGTAGAGTTCAAACGAAATTGAACTCACTATATTTTTTTTCTTTTTACTGCCTATTTAATTGCAGAATGAACTCACAATTTTAATTACTATATTCTTGTTTCCTCCCTCCCTTATCAACTGATGATCGTTGAATCCACATAAGTTAAATGTCTGTGACATACTGACACTGCATACCTGTGATTTGAGGCTGGGCCTGGCCCGACCCTAAATATTTGACAATTGGAATTGCTATGTTAGGTGTCAGCCTGTTTTTCTCTTCTCCACTGCTAGAAACTTTGGTTTCCTATGAGAAGTAGTGATTTCTGGGAGACTTATGCTGAGTCTGCAAATCCATATATTCTTACAGAAAGGACCATATGAGGTTGTTACATTATTTGTTGGGCCTATTCTCATTTATATGCACAGTGTGACTCCAGAAATTACAGTTTCTCCAGCTCTATCACTGTACCGAATGAATTAGAATCTGTGGTTTAACAAGATCCGCAGCTGATTTGGATTCACAGCTTTGAACAATACCAAAATAGACACATTAGGTGAATATGTTAGGAAGTGCTATCCCCTCAGTGATATATATTTCTGAACTTCATTAGTCAAATAGTAGAAAAACAATACATGCAAACAATTAGGGAAACATTGTTATTTTAAATACAAAGCGATAAAATTTTCTCTTTAAAAAGATACAGCATAGGCCTGGCACAGTGGCTCATGCCTGTAATCCCAGCACTTTGGGAGGCCGAAGCTGGCGGATCACCTGAGTTCAGGAGTTTGAGACCAGTCTGGCCAACATGGTGAAACCCCATCTCTACTAAAAATATAAAAATTAGCTGGGTGTGGTGGTGAGTGCCAATAATTCCAGCTACTTGGGAGGCTGAAACAGGACAATCGCTTGAACCCTGGAGGCAGAGGTTGCAGTGAGCCAAGATTGTGCCATTGCACTCCAGCCTGAGCAACACGAGTGAAACTCTGTCTCAAAAAAAAAAAAATATATAGAAAAAAAAAAGTTTTGTTCTCTTATAAAATTAATTTACACTTTCTGGGGATTAATGAAGGGAGAAGAAACAATTATAAAATCAGTAGACTTTAAAATGTCTTCAGTAGTACCGTTAAGTAATTTTTACGTTTTATCTACAGAAAACCTGTCTATCCAAGACCAGGCACCTGTGTTGGAAGGTGAATTGGTTGTAAAATATACCTTTGGAAATCTGTGAATGATTGAATACAATTAATGAGTATACATTAACAATATTGCATGTCAATCTCAAAGATGATGATATTCCTGATCAGGATCATCTTTTTATTTGGCTTCATAATTGAATTAAATTTTGGAACTGATTGAATTTATGTGATTTCACAAGTAGCTTTGTTATCAAGGCTGTTTTATATAGACATAAAGAAAAAACTATGCCAAGACTGTCTTAAGCCACTGGTAAGACTAGAAAGTACGGATATTTGAATGATTAAATAATTGATGGAGAACCAGAAATTTAAGAATTTGTTAATCAGAAAGCAGCATATCATTTAATATTTTGTGGTTAACTCTTAACTGTTTTGGGCCATACCTGACTTTCTGTCTCCTAGCAAATGTATAGGAAATTAATTGGTTTTATTTTATTTTATTATTTTTAGACAGAATCTTGTGCTGTCCTCCAGGCTGAAGTGCAGTGACACAATCTTAGTTCACTGCAATCTCCGTCCCCAGGTTCAAGCAATTCTCCTGCCTCAGCTTCCTGAGTAGCTGGGATCACAGGCGTGCACCACCACACCCAGCTAATTTTTATATTTTTAGTAGAGACAGGGTTTCACCATGTTGGCCAGGCTGGTCTCAAACTCCTGACCTCAAGTTATCCACCTGCCTTGGCCTCCCAAATTGTTGGGGTTACAGGAATGAGCCATTGCACCTGGCCTGAATTCTGTTTTAAAAATCAAGACAAATAAATGCTGGTGGTTAGGCAAAGATCTGTATTTTTTTAAAGTTTCTGTGACTTTGGTTTGCTAAACAGTTTTCTTATGACTTAATATTATGTATATCAGTTAAAAAAGTACAAATTAAAATATTGAAAAAATGTTTATTGGAAAGGTAATTTTTTGTCTTTACACATGTAGATACACAAAAATTTCTTTAACAAGTATCTGGTTTCTTATAGAGGATATCAAAACTCACATTTAGTGAAATGTAAGAGAATTAATTGTGATTTAGAAATTATTCTGTCTTGGCTGGGCACAGTGGCTCACGCCTGTGATCCCAACACTTTGGGAGGCCAAGGTGGGCGGATCACCTGATGTTGGGAGTTCAAGACCAGCCTGGCCAACAATGGTGAAACCCCATCTCTACTAAAAATACAAAAATTAGCCAGGTGTGATGGTGCACGCCTATAGTTCCAGCTACTCAGTAGGCTGAGGCAGGAGAATTGCTTGAACCCGGGGGCAGAGGTTGCAGTGAGCCGAGATCTTGCCACTGCACTCCAGCCTGGGAGACAGAGCTAGACTCCTTTTCAAAAATATATATATTGTCTTATTTCCAGCATGTTGTATTCCTTTTTTCTTTAAAGATACTGGCATTAAAGTACTTAATAAGTTGTACTACTGTTGTTCATTTTTCACTTTGAAATAACAGGGTTTTTTGGTTTGTTTGTTCATGTGTGTGTGTTTTTTAAGAGGAAATTTACTATAGTTGGTAGTATTTTAATTTTATATTTTCTGTCAGCCTGGGAATTTTTTTTATGGTATTAAAAATCTTAGCACAGATATTTGAATACCCTTTTTTGCTTTGCTTATAAGTAATTCCCAAGGCAAAGATGATTTAAAAAATTACTAGTGCTACATAATTGGAGTCTGTTTTTTTTTCTTTTTT